CACACACGCACGCGTGTACACTCACACATGCATGCACACACACGCACACTCAAACATGCATGCACACACACACACGCACGCGTGTACACTCACACATGCATGTACACTCACACATGCATGTACACACACGCACGCGTGTACACTCACACATGCATGCACACACACGCACGCGTGTACACTCACACATGCATGCACACACACGCACACTCAAACATGCATGCACACACACGCACGCTCAAACATGCAACAATGTCTGCAAGACGAGCCTGACACAAAAAGTTGTCAACTGAGTAAATAATATGCTACAGGAGGGGGGGGGGGAGGTCTGTCTGACTCAGGTGCTCACACATTCAGCGACGCGACAGCGTGCACACTCACAATAGAAAGCAGAACGAGTTGCTGGATGTATCGGCTGAAACAATACCCACAACCAAAACCTGCTGTATAACGTTATCACAAGAAAATCAAACGAAACATTTCATCATTTCCACATTAAGAATGGCCGAACGCTTGTGAATATTGGACACCCCCACCGACACATTTAAGATCTCGACAAAGGCAAGCTACTTGTCATTTATCTACCCAGGCTCAACCAACTCGGTGCGACACAACATCACAGAAGAGACATGGAGACTCGAAACAAATCAACTTGTTGTTGTTATCGGTCCAGAAACAAATCAACTTCAACGCATGAGAATCGCACTCATACCTTCTGCAAACAAAGCTCACTGAAGAATCTAACAATTCCATCCCAGGGACAGATTGAGAACAACGGCAGAAACTGCAGAGACTGCGGCACCAAATGTCTCGTGTCCACTCATCTTCCTTGTCTTTTTTGTTTTAGAAAGGTTTGTTTTAGTTTTAGTAATGTTTGACCGCACTCGCAACTGCATAAGGTCATACGAGCGCCAAGGGGTGGATGTCAACAGAGAAGTCCAAACGGGGAATAAGACTTACTACTTACTCTGCTCACCTCTCTAGCCTCGACAGCACAAAGTCTCTCTTCCTTGTCTACACAGAAAACTCAAGTCAAATATCAGTGAGAAAAGAACAAAGTCAATTCACCAACCTGCATCAGCAACTTGACCAAACCAGATCTCAACCATCAATTATATGAACTCATTACGTAGTTTTGAGAAACAAATTCCTAATTTTTACTTTTCAAAAGTCAATTTAAGCCATGCAAGGAACAAAAAACCATTTCGTAACCGAAGAATCTTATCAGACGTAGGATCTATCAGACGTAGGATCTATCAGACGTAGGATCTATCAGACGTAGGATCTATCAGACGTAGAATCAAAGCAAAACATCAAGAACAGAGGAATCACTGACGGAGTGAGAGACAATGTTGCAATAGTCAAGAGCTAGGACTAGTAAGACCTACTCCACACACACACACACACACACACACACACACACATCCACAAACGTCATAGCGCATCACCAACATAAAACAACATATCTAGTTTCAGACGCCAAAACACATCGGCCTACTACGAAGTCTCTACCACGTTCACATTTATCACGCCTCAAACACAAGATATACATCGGGTCGCAGATACGCAAAATGTATAT